TAGCAACCCAACCAGAGACTCAGTGCACCATCAAAGCTGTGCATGCGCTACAGCCAGAATGATACTTGGAATTCACACTTTCAATCATATCAGTCCTGTGCCTGTACTCTTCGTGACTCTCAGTCTCAGCAAAATAGCCTTAGCAGGGCTTATTTCGGCATGGTCTTGAGGCCTCCTGCCCCTGTCTCTGTTGCCCACCTGAACCTTGCCACTCTATGCCCCCTACTCCCAGAGCTCCGTTAAGACCACTATGTGAACTTCTCTCTGTTTCTGGAACCAGTTCCTTTGTCTGGAATGCCCTTCCACAACCTCTCAACCACATTAACTCTTAGCTTGTTTCTTGAGCTAAGTGTTCTTTTTCCTGACTCTGCCACTGTGTGTGGGTATGTGTTTGCGTGTATGCACCTATGTATCAGTATACACTCAGAGATCTCTGGGTTGTACAAAGAGTTTATGCTGATTGCTAGTCCCAAGATGGACTTTAGGCTAGGGTTAAACTCACCCAAGGGAGCCATACCAAAAAAGGCTGGCTTCCATAAAGATTTGTTGTTGTTGTTGTTGTTGTTGTTGTTGTTAAGGGGTGTCCAGCCAGTTCTCGTTCATAGGGCTCATATGTACAACAGAACAATATGCTCAGTGCACAGTGCTTGTTGTCTTCACAATTGTTCTTGAGTTTGCGCCCAGTGTAGCAGTCCTTGTGTCAGTCCATCTTGCCAAGGACCGTCCTCTGTTTCGCTGCCCCAGCATGATGTCCTTCTCTAGGGACTGGTCTCTCCTGACAAATTGTTCAAAGTACATGAGACAGAGTCTTGCCATCCTTGCCTCTAAGAATTGTGGCGGCGCTTCTTCCAAGACACATTTGTTGGTTCTTTTGGCAATCCGCGGTGCTTTCATTGTTCCTCACCAGCACCATAATTCAAATGCATGAATTCTTTTTTGGTCTTCCTTATTCAATGTTCCGCCTTCACGCGCATATGAAGCAAGTGAAAACAGCATGGCCCTGCTTTCAACACTTTAAAAAGATTTTGTGCAGAAGACTTATCTGGTGCAATGTGTCCTTTGATCTCTTGACTGCTGCTTCCATTATCATTGATTGGGGGGGTTCAAGAAAACAACCATGATGCACACCTTTCCTCATTTTTAACTGTGTAATATTCCCTTGCTCTGTTCCCATATCACCCTTTGATCCATGTACAAGTTCTGCAGGAACACAATCTAGTGTTTGGGAATTCCCATTCAAAAATGGCATTTCAAGATCTGTCTTAAAAGCTATTTGTGACAGGATAATATCTATCCACATACAAAGAAACTCAATCAATAGAATTATTGTTCAAATGTATACATCAACCACTAAAGCTAATGATGCAGAAATCGATGGACTACCAACTGAAATAGTCCCACAACTGATGAAGTTTTGGAAGTACTTACTCATCAAGGCCATGAAATTTGGAAGACAGCTGCATCAGCAACTGACTAGAAGAGATTCATATTTGCGCCCATTCCAAAGAGAGTTGACCCAGCAGAATGCTCAAATTATAGAACCACATGAATATCCCACTCAAGTACAAGTTTGCTGAAGTTCGTTCAACAATGGTTGACTGAGAGCTGACAGAGATTCAGGATGGATTCAGAAAAGGATGTGGAATCAGGGATCTCATAGCTGATGTCAAATGGATCTTGGCTGCAAGCAGAGAACAACAAAAGATGTTTCCTTGCATGTTATTGACTGTGCAAAGGCATGCCATAAAAATTACAGCCAAGGAAACCCTGTGAAGTAGTTTTTCTCTTATAATAAGCCAGGCTGTCATGAGTCAGAATCAACCCGTTGGCAACAAATTTCAGTTTGATTTATACATACACACATACATAAACATACAGATAGTGTAATTTTTTCTGAGTCACTAAGAATAAATAAGTGATGTCATTGCTCTTTATCCCTAAATACTTTAGGATGAATTTCCTCAAGAACAAGTAAATCCATCCTAAAGAATCTTATTTAACCCTCTGTAGCTAAATTGAAACCTACTTCTAGATGTCCTGGAGGACAGAGGAGGACTTCTCCTTAGGGTTTCCTCCAAGGTCAAGGTCTATGGAGGTAAGCTGCTACTTCTCTCTCCTGTGGAGCTGCTGGTTAGCAGCTGAGAGCATGAACCACTGCACTACCAAAGGCTCCTTTCTCACTATGTCACCACCAGACAGGTATCAAAAGTTTAAAACAAACAATAGCAACATAAAGTCTTCTTGCTTGATTTACGCTTTGTATTCAAATCTCATCAGTTGTCTAGATATGCCCTCCACCCATGTTACACAAGAACCCTTAGGGCATAGTAGGTTACACATTGGGCTCCTAACCCCAAGGTCCACAGTTTAAAACTACCAGCCACCCCGTGGGAGAAAGATGAAGCTTTCTACTCCCATAAAGATTTGCAATCTTGGTAACTGACAAGGCTGGTTCTACTCTGTCTATAGTGTCCCCATGAGTCACAATCAACTCAATGGCAGTTAGACTGGCTTTGATCTTACACCTATGACAGGGTACAATCTAGGGTGACACACTCACTTCATTATTATACCAGTTTAGTCTCCTTCAATCAGATGCAGTTCCTCAGCCATGCTTTGATCTTTGGAAAATGCCATTTATTTCGTAGGACAGACCAAATTTGAGTTGAGTTTTTTGTTTCCAGAAACATAAGTAATGTCATTTTCTTCTCACTACATCATTTCAGTAGACACAAGATGTCTTGTCTGCCCCCAAATTGGTGATATGTGCTTTGATCTCTTGGGTAAGGTAGTGTGTGCCAGGTTTCTCCTCTACACAGTGAGGAGATTCAATTTCACCATTTCAATTAATCATTTGAGCTAAGGATACTTCGGAACTTTGAAAATATCCAGTTCTTCATCAAACTTTCACCCACTCATTTAGGATTCATTTTACATCTGCTTCACTTTTAAGGAAGCTTATTTTACATTGTTTTTTTAAGATATAATTATGATAAATGGACTTTTTAAACCACCCCTCATAACACACCTGCCTCTCCAATCTCTTCATTTATAAAAATTCTATCATCTAGAATTGAGAGAAGTTTGATATATACAGCATTAGCCAAGGGAATATTTCTCATTTGCATTTTCAACTCTATTCATGAATTATCTTTTCATTTCCTTTTCCTTTGAAATAAAAAAAATAATCTATGAAAGGGCATATTTTTCATAATGAGAACGAAGATATACAATATTATTTCTGGCTTGCCAAATGTCATAATATTGCTTTTGGTCACATTATAATGGGCATCAGTAATTGCATATATATTTCTCAGGCTTGCTATGAGGGCTCACTTAAGGGTCTGAAGAGCTTACTGCAGCCGTGGGGTTTGTACATTCAAAATCATTTGGATTGATTAAAAGCATGGGGAGAATTATAATGAAGGTCAGATCATATGGGCATCGGGAAGGTGCAATGTCATTACCATTTAAACTAGAAATTGAACTATTTTTCTAAGTGGATCATACCACAGTGACAGGCTGGGTTGCTCGCTGTAAGATTAGTAATACCTGACATCACTCATCCATTTAGTCAAAAGAAAATCATTGTCTGAGCCTGCTAAGTGAGAAATGTCATTATATATACATATCGCTTCTCAGTTTCCTTGAATCATATATCCTTCTGGGTTTTTAACAAATTTTGACCAAAAGGAGCCTTGAGGGCTTGCTTGTAGGTTCTATTAAAGGATTACAGAGGCTCGAAAACTGCGTCTGGAGCAGCATTCCTCTGCCATGCCAGAAGATCGCCCATCTGACAAAGGACTCCGCTTAAGAAATCATCAAATTATTGCTCTTCCAGACAGCTAGGTCATAAAAGATCAGCAGAGGTTTCATGGACTGGACTCTGGACAATGCAGACACCTCTGACCCAAATGTCCTAGGACAGAGCTGGTCTTTTCTTTTCTTTTTTTAAATCATCATTTTATTTGGGGCTCATACAACTCTTCACAAAATCCGTACATACATCATTTGTGTCCAACGCATTAGTACATATGTTGTCATCATCATTCTCACAACACCTGCTTTCTACTTGAGCCCTTGGTGTCAGCTCCTCATTTTTCCCCTTCCCTCCCCACTCCTCTCTCCCCCTGAACCCTTGATCATTTATAAATTATTATTATTTTATCATTTCTTACACCATCCGATGTCTCCCTCCCCCACTTCTCTGCTGTCCGTCCCCCAGGGAGGAGGTTCTATGTAGACCTTGTCATCTGTTACACATTTATGTCACTCAGTCAATGCCTTTTGTATCAGAAAATGTCGGAGCTAGAGAAAACCTGCAAGGTAAGGCCCTGGTAGTGTACTGGTTCGCAGTTCAAAACCACCCCCAGCTCCTCAGGACAAGAATTGGGCTTTCTACTCCCATCAACAATTGCCATCTCAGAAATCCACAGGGGGTCGCTCTGAGTCAGCATTGACTCAATGGTAGTGACTTTTGTGGGGTGGGGGCGGGGGTTGCTGAGAGAAAACCTAAAAAATAAATACCCATCCCCTTTTCACAACATGTCTTGACATACTTTTACATATTGTCCAATTCGTTTCTCACAAAAAATATTGTAAAAAAGAAAAAAGGCAAAGCAAGAATAGCTTTATGGTGACAAAACTAGGTATCAGCAATAAGGTGCAGGGACAGCCTAGCCTGAAAAAAAACCCAGAGCTAGAATTCTAACCTCCAGGATCACAATCCACCAAACCACACATTCATAGCCTTCACTAGGTACCCCCAAAATCTCATTAAGAGGTTCAAGAATTCACGACAGCTTTAACGGTCTGTTCTCTATATGTAATGATTGGCTTAATGTCTTTCATCCTAGAACATGTGGACTATTGAGCTTATTCTTCTCAGCTGGTCGACACCGAGTTGATGAGTGGACAGAATGGATATGCCACATGGTTCTCCGGACCAAAGCCATTTCCTAGTGGCCAGAGCCTTTTAATAGTTTCGTTCTCCTCCTTAGCTTGCTGCCAGAAATGGCCCTCTCCGTGGACTCGTCGTGGCTCCGGTGGCAGTGGCGAGTCCGAGATGGCTTCCCCCGGTCTCCATCAGAAACCACACCCCTGCTCTCTCCAGAGAGGCCAAGGCCAAGCTACAACCTGAGGCAGCAGCGGGTTGTGTTTCCCAACAACGGGATATTCCACCACAACTGGGGAAAGGCGTCCGGGAGATACGCCGGCAACAGCATCTGCACCACCAAGTACACACTGCTCACCTTCCTGCCCCAGAATCTCTTTGAGCAGTTCCACAGGTACACACCCACCTGACCCTAACCGTTTAAACTAGTGTCTGCCGCAGAGACTAGTGTTACCCTCTGGGCGACACCCCCGGCTTTCATACCCTAATGAAATCGAGTCCCTCCATGTGCTTCAAGGAGTCTGCCCCATTCATTCCTCCCTCAGCCAATGACACCGTAAGGTTCTGCTGTGGATGGACCAGCTGGACCGGGTTGAGTGCTAGAAGGACACGTGGGAGGGAAAGCAACAGCTATGTGCTTGTATGTTATCTAGTGAAAGAGACAGACGTTAGTTTTTTAAATCCAGTAAAGTTATAACTCACATAGATCCTCCCAAAGAGAGGCAATGGTGCTATTATTATTAGAGGGAATGATAGAGAAATCTGGCCTAGTTAAGGGAGAAAGGGTGGCCAGCGTAGGATCTGGAAAAGCACATTGACTAGGTCAACAGGGGTGGAGAGAGACCACGGAGGGGACTCCGGCAAATGTCCATGGCAGCAGAATTGCCTGTGCAAAGACACTGTGGCGAGAAGAGTCAAAATGTCCTTGACAAACTGGAAAATACCAGCCACTCCATTCAAATACTATGAGGGATAATTTTATGACTTTCAAAAATGTATGCTTTGATATCATCCTAAATTTTGCAATTATTATGAGCTTGCAATTGCCGAGCAACTTCGACAATCTAGATTTTATACCGTGCATCTTACAAATATTATGCCACAAAATGTTTATAAGAGCTCTTTAAAATAGGTAGCACTATCCCCATCTTACACACGAGGGAACGGAGGCTCAGGAAGGTGACACTGCTAGTAAGTCAGCAGGTCCACGTTTGAAGCTAGATCAATTTAGCTGCTAAAATCTTGCTAAAATTTTCTAAGGAACGTTGTTATTTATGACAGTGAGAGCCAACTGAAGAAGCAGAAAGAGGAGTATCTATTATCTCCCTCTCTCCATGGCTTGCTCCCTTCCAGATGGGCTAACCTCTATTTCCTGTTCCTGGTGATTCTGAACTGGATGCCTTCCATGGAAGTCTTCCACAGAGAGATCACCATGCTCCCATTGGCCGTTGTCCTGTTCATCATTATGGTCAAGGATGGCTTGGAGGACGTGAGGAAGTACCTCTTTGATAGAGGAATAAATTGCTCCAACAGTCACATATATGAAAGGTAAGGGAAATCATCCCTCTGTTTTCTCTCTTACAAGGTAGTTATGAAACTTCATTATCATTTTCCAAAGATTGGTCCTTCTTCTCACAGTATGTTTTCTTAGCTAAACCCAATCTGGCTGTCATAGAATCCATTTTGAGCCATGCAAATTCAATGTATACATCCCAGGGCTACTGTCCTCCTCCCAGTTGTCAAATGACTGGTTTTTCAGAAGTGGGTCATGAGGTCTTTCTTTGGAGGCACCTCTGGGAAGACTTGAACCTCCAAACTTTGGTGAGCAGATGAGCACATTAGTTATTTATGCCCCCGAGGGGATCACTCCTTTGATTCAGTGATTCTCAGCCAGGGGTAATTTTACCCATCAGGGGATATTCGGCTGTGTCTAGAGACATTTAGGGTTGTCACACTTCAAAGGATGGGGCTACTAGCTCTGAGTGGGTAAAGGCTGGTGTTGCTGCTCAGCATCCTACAATGCATGGGAGAGCTCTCTACAACTAATTGATCTGGTCCAAGATGTTCATCATGCCATAGTTAAGACAGCTTGTGTAAACAATCATTTTTAAACACAATGATTCTGTATTATTAAAAGTGGGGTTAAAATCTCAAGAATTAAACTCTCCAATTGACTGGATCATCTCAGATTAAATTCAAGATCAGAGCTTTGAAGGACATCAGCACTGTCTGTGTCACAAGAAAACACAGGCCATTCTCAAAGCATCAGAGGTTCTTGGCTTAACAATCCTTGCTTTCAATGTACAACCAGATAGGTTTTAGGACCCAGAGTTAACGTGCTTATTCTCGGCTGCCTGGGTGGAAAAGGAAGATACCTGTGAGTGACGTCTACATTCCAACAGGTGGAGTGCTCACACAAGTAGAAGGAAGAGGCCTGGAGAGGTGCACACCTGTTCACCGCAGGCTCTTTCCTTGTCCTATTTCTCCCCTGGTGTTTGTACGCCTGTTTCTTTGTCTCTGTTTAATTTTTCTTTGAAAAGATAACATTGAAGTTTTGGTAGAGAGAGAAGTGAAAGATGGCAAGCACATGGCTTGTTGGCAGCTAAACCATGGAATTGATCAGGGCGAAACCTGCTTTGCCGGGAAGTCGTGCTCCATGCTATGAGCCTCACAGAGGCAGGGTGAGCAGAGATGAGAAAGGAGGGGAGGAAGCAGCGGAAACGGAAAGAAGACAAGAAACGAATGGTGGTTTCCAGTCTGCCCTTTGAAGGGTGGTCCCACAAGAAGAACCCCAACAGGCTATACCATGGGAATCAGATTAAGACCAGCAAGTACACCGTGTTGTCCTTTGTACCCAAGAACATCTTTGAGCAGCTGCACCGGTTTGCCAACTTCTACTTTGTGGCCCTTGTGGCTTTGAATTTTGTCCCGGTGGTCAATGCCTTCCAGCCCGAGGTGAGCATGATTCCAATCTGTATCATTCTGGCGATGACTGCCATCAAGGATGCTTGGGAAGACCTCCGGAGGTTCAATTCCGATAGAGTGATCAATAACCGCGAGTGCTTCATCTACACCAGGTAAAACAAACATGCTAAGCAATCAGGGCAAGTCTGGCTGGCCCAGCTTTGACCTTTCTATGGCTTCTGCTGTTTGGAGGGGGTAGAAAGAGCTGTCTTCATTAAGTCGCTTAAAACCTCCCTTCAAGAGAATTCTTGAAAGGTTCCTTCATGAGAGTTTTTTTTTTCCTAATTAAAAAGAAAATTACACCCATTGTTCAAAATCAGGAGGCCTACATTATGTGATATTTTCTATGCTGTTTTAAATGTGTTTAACATTTAAGAATTTTGCATAAATTCTCATCCCCTTAGTCCAGCGTGGGCATGCACTCACTTGAACATGCTTGTAGGCCTTCAGAGGGAAAATCATCGCTTTGTTTGAGGGATCAGTCTGGAATTAGGTTAGGAGAGGCAGCACTAAAGACACACTGCCAGCTGGAATCCGGTTTCCAACACTCATTAACCCCATGATCTCGGGCAAGTGACTTCACCGCTCTGAGCCTGACTTCGTTATTCCTCCAACTGGAACACTCCCTGGATGGTCGTGAGAAGCCGGTGAGATAATCCATTGAAAGTGCTCCATACTCTGTCTGCCATCATAGCCTGCCCCGCCCCTCCCTCACCCCCCGCCCCCCAGCCCAAACACACACACACACACACAATGCAAGCTACTAAGGCCCTAGAAGTTGAAAACAGCTACCATTCAGTGGCTAACCAAAATGTTGGGGGTTCTTGTGAACCCACAGGAGCTTTGGAAGAAAGACTTGGTGGTCCACTTCCAAAAATGCCCACCATTGAAAACCCTGTAAAGCTCAGGTCTACTCTGATATCCATGAGGTTGCCAAGAGTCAGAACTGATACAATGACCTTTATTCTTCCTACTGTTACTCTGTTTGTACAAAGTAAAACTCTTAGCTCTGTCATCAAATCTGTCTTTGAGCTTCTCTGACGCTATCCCACCCAATCCGTCCTGCCGCACACTCCATCCTGCCGCACACACGATGCCAAACTAGGTCTTTAGAGTAAAGGTGCGATTTCCATCAGTACATGAGAAAGAGCACAGTGTGGCTCAACTTTGTGACAAGTCCCTTGGTCCCAAAGAAAGCATGAGCACTACCTCTGGATTTACACAAAGAGGCTACTGTGACCAAACGTGTTTTCTGGGCAGGCACAAATGATTCACTCACAGGCAATAAGGGCTTGACTCCTTGCCAAGTAATGAAATTCTCTCTCCAGAGAGTTTATCCACTACAGTTTCAAAAAAGTTCTACAGGGAGTGAAGGGGGATGTTGGGCAGTGTAAGACATAACAAATAATAATAACATAAATTATCAAGGGTTTAGGAGGGCAGGCAGGGAGGGAGGGGGGAAATTGAGGAGCTGATACCAAGGGCTCAAGTAGAAAGCAAATGTTATGAGGATGATGGCAACAAATGTACAGATGTACTTGAGACAATGAATGGATGGATGGATGGATGGATTGTGATATGAGTTGTATGAACCCCTACTAAAAGTATTTTTAAAAAGCTGTTCCACAGAGCTCTGGTCGCTGTTTAAAGGAAAAGGGTTTGCTCTGTGTGATGTGCTGCAGCCATTTAGAGCTGCTTACTGCTAAGGGGAGTCCCTACGTGGTGCAAACAGCTAATGGGCTTGTTTGCTAACTGAAAAGGGGAAAGTTCAAGTCCACCTGCAGGTGCCTCAAAAGAAAGACCTGATGATCTACTTGTGAAAAACCATCCCTTCAAACCCAACAGAATGGGGTCACCCTGCTCCAACAGACTGGGGTCACCCTCAGGCCAAGTCGGGTCAGCCGCAGTGGATTTTTGTCTCTCGGAGCAGTTCTCTTCCTCAGGGAAGTGAAAGGAAATGCCTGGGAACTAGCTGACTGGAGGTTTTCTGATCCAGACTCCACTTGGAAAGCTGCAGCCAGGGGAACTTTCCAAAGAGATTGTCTAATATGAGTGATTTGCTGCCAGAGAATCCCTAAGACAAACCCATGCCTGCTCCTGGACATCAAATGGGCGTCTGTGTCTTTCTGTTGGAAGATTCACAAATATCTGGGGTATCTTTCTTGTTTCTGTGTGTGTGTGTGTGTGTGTGTGTGTGTGTGTGTGTTGTGGTTGTGGTTGGTTGGTTGGTTTTGGTGTTTTTAGCGAGTTCTGATGTCCCTGGGTGCCACAAACATCAGTTCGAAACCACCAGGCATCCTGAGGGAGAAAATTAAGGCTTCCTACGCCCAGAAAGAATTACAATGTCAGAAACTCACAGGAGCAGTTCTACTCTGTCCTACAGAGTCACTATGATTCCGAATCCACTCGATGGCAGTGAGCTTGGTTTTGTGTTACAGGGAACTTTATGGAACTATTCCCCAACGTGTATTCACAATGACCAAAGAAAACCCTTCTTTGTGTGAAGTTGATTGAACTCATGGAGAGCCTGTGCGTGTCAGAATAGAGTTGTATTCCACAGCATTCTCATTGACTGTGCTTTTATGGAAGTAGAATACCAGGCCTTTCTTCCACAGCACCACTGGATGAACTAGAACTGCCAACCTTTTGGTGAGAAGTCAAGCCCGAGTTATTTGTGCCACCCAAGGACGCAAATGATAAAGAATGCTCTCTGGAAAAAGTTGTTCATGACCAGAAAATATCTGCTTGTTCTCTGGACCCATATCATGCAAAGGATTAAAAGAAGTTATGTTGCCAAGATCATTGATTAATTCAGTGTTGCTGGGAGCTTCTTGGACCTTCAAAATGGTTTTTAAATGTTTCTGAATATTTTTCATTTGGGGAATTTTACTCTCTCACGCATTATAGGGATCAGTCCGATAATTTACTGATGTGGGAAAGACCCCCCGGCCCCCAAAAGAAAAAGCATCCATCATGTGCTGCCAATGGCAATGGACGCCCCGACCAAGAGCTGGCGTGCAAGAGGCCGTGGGGCCGTGTGGGAACTGAGCCCGTAAGCCTTCACCCCACGAGACTGGCCGGTCGGTCGCAGCTTGTTATGATCATGTGTTAGAATCGTGCAGGCCGGGCATTGCCAGATCGTCACAGAGTTACTAGGGAGCTAGAAATTAATATTTTTTCCTGGAATGATTTTTTTTCTGATACTCGGCCTTTATTTTATTTGACCTAAACGTCTTATCTTGCCCCCGAATTCCCTTTTTCAAACTTTGCTTTACAATATCCTAGCAATTTAGCATCTCTGAATAAGAATGATTAAGTTTTAATTTTGAAAACTGTCTTCGGTGAGGGCACGGCTTTGGGCAGAAAGGGAGTGTGGCCTGTCAGTGAGAAGGCGAGCCTGGAAGACAGCCTCTAGGCACAGAGGCTCTAGTCAAAGCCTATCAATAGCTTGGAAAAGTCATTCGAATCTCAGGATCCCATTTCTGACTTTGGGAAAACTTGTGAGGTGGACTAGATTGTGACCTCTGAGACACACCGTGAACGCACAGAACACACAGCCCACAAAGTCTGGGAATGGTATATAC